CCCCCCCCCCCCCCCGTGTGCCACACCCAGGCTCACAGCCTCCGGGTTTGTCAGGAGTTTGGATGTAAAACTACATGGAAAACCGCACATCATGCGTAGTAAAGTAATGGAAGAAGAGGACGTGCTCTGTCCCCACTTTACTACATTACAGATCCGCGTAGTTCAGGATGTGCTTATCACGTAAACATTTTATTAGAAGAACTGTTGGTTTCAGTGCCATTTATGGATACACCTGCAGCTCTCATCTTGGAACCCATGACCTTGTGGCCAAGGCCGGACCTTTAGATCCTACCCCGTCTTGTACTGTTGAGAAAAAAAATCAATCACTTAAGCTTTAACTTGTGCGTAAATGATCAAATACTAAGCTCGTATGTCATGTTGGACAGAACGAGGCCATATGGGTGATTTGCGTAAATTAGATTTGTGTGTGTGTATGTATATGTGTGTGTATATATACATATATAATATATCATAGTTTTCACTGTGAAGGATAGTTAAGCCTCAAAACCCTTTGAGCAGAGTTGTGCATTTCTGTGTAGGGAGGATAAAATAGGTCGTGTGTCAACAAAATGACCGAACTTTAAAATACATCTTCTGTGAATGAACTTTGTTAGGTGTAAATGAGAGCCTCGTTTTGGTGGGAATGTGTCGCCGTAATGCAGCTGATAAAATGCATAAATTTGGGGGGGGGGGTCCTGTCATCACTCTATTTATGTGAAGCCAGTGACTGCGCTGTCCAGATAGGGATGGGGGTGGCAGGCAGAGGTGACAGTCAGTTGCAAGTGGAGCGAGCTGGTGGGCTGGGGGACGGGGGTGCAGGCAGTGTGGAGCGGAAAGGGCTTTGACATACACCCCCCTGCTCGTTTCCTTACTGGCGTGGATGAGGGGTGATAGCTTCCACTAGCAAGTTCGAAACTGGTGGGAGGAAGAGGCACCGCTGGTGTTTGCTCCATGCGTGTGTGTGTGCTGGGGACGGGGCGGGGCGGGGCGGGGCGCCACCTAGTCTCTGCATTGTGGGGAAATAAGACTGACTGGTTGGGTCAATTACATTGGTGCCCATTGTTCTCTTTACTGTGCGATGAGGCCGTTGGGCTGCTTCTGGAAACCACTTCGCTCTTCTGCTGGTGAGGTGCTTCTCCATGGCTTCGCTGCCTTATGCAAATGCTGCTTTTGAATGACTAAACCATGCAAAATTAAATTGGGGGGGGGGAGATATTGCATCTGTACGGTTCAGCCTTGTTTAAAATTCAACCATGGGTTAATTCCCAAATATTCTACTGACTTGTACGTGCTGTTGACGTTCGGTTGAGTTTGCCTGAGGGCATCCATTTTCCAATCGCCTAGGTGGCACTCCTAAGTGGGGGGGGGGAGGCGGTGGGGGGTGCAGTTTGCAGGCTTCCTCAGGTTGGGGCCTGTCGTGGCTTCCCCTCTTACCCTTTTGGCCTTTCTTCTCTTGAGCAGGAGTCTCTGGAACAGGGCGTGTGCAAATTGGGTCTTTGGCTACTGAACAGGATGTTTTTGCGGTTCGTTGTCCTGAATTGCACATACCTGAGGCTCCTAAGACAGACAAGTCGCTTTTAATCCAGGCTTTATAGGCAGTAAGTATATTAACGATGGTTGGCTCACAAAGGTGGATCAGCCCAAAGTTCAATATCTTCAAGGACGTACCAGATATGTCATTTGCCACCTTCGGAATGTCGCTTCATTAAAGGTAACGGGTAAGACTCAGTCGAGGTGTCAGATTAAGATTATGCCTGGTGAATTAATCAAAACATGTTGAGAACAGTCGTGTTGTACCTGTGACTTGTTTCCGGGTGACTCTTCAAGCTGTGCCTTTCTTCGCCTGGGGGAGGTGCCGTCCAGGATTTGCACATCTTGCAGAGTAAATGCTTGTATTGCAGCAGAATTATTTGTTCGTGATGTGGTGAGTAGGAATGGCCCTAGGACACAATGCCATTCGCATGAATTCACCCAGTGGGAGTTTCTCTCTGTCCTTTCAGTTCTGTCTTCTGATTTATTTTTTCTGACTCCCCATTCTCTGTATCTCTGCACATTTTTTTTTTTTTTTTTAAAACAGTGGGAGTTTTGTTTATTAACGAATTCACAGGAGCCATGGAGCAGGTCATTGGCTGCTCAGTCCTGGATTCTGTTCTCCCTTTGTGATGTGAACCTGAGTTTTTATACAATTTTCATTCATGTTTGGTATAATCAGAGTCCAGTTAGTGACTAGGAAAGCTGTTGCGGCAGATTCAGGGCTGTGAGTGACATGCTTGCAAGTTCTAGCTCGCATGAATAGTCCAGTTTTTGTTCTCAGGATGTGGAAACTGATGGCTCGTATTCCCCTACAGACCGGATTGGAATGAAGGCGGTGCATCAGCAGGCAGTTTCTCTTACTTTAGTGATCACCAGCACCAGTACTTACTGTGAGGCCTGATAGAGACATGCTAGGGATCTCGGCATGCTGTGCAATGTGAATGGGATGCATGCCCTAATTAGTAAGTCCTAATACGTGTCTAACAGCGTAAATGGCCCCAGATGGGGATTGATCCTGCATCCTCATAACCTGTGCAATTTACCAGCACAGTCTCGGTCCTCCCACCAGAGGCCCACACCCCTCATCCAAGGACCCTTCCCTTCCGTTGCCCTGAGCAAAAGGGTGATGTCACCATTTTAGAATCTTTCAGTGCACGAGAACTCTGCTTTAACTTTGGGACCAGTGTTGCTCAACAATCCCTGTGTGCTGTCAGGTTTTCATTCCAACTCTATAAAAGGTCTTCCCTAATATGAGCTGTTATTCAAATGGTGAACACAAGATGGAGATGCCCACACCCTAGAACTGCAACTAATAGCATTTGACCGATTTTTAAAAAATCGTTTTAGAGTAATGTTGGACAATTTTGCTGTTGTGTCTCACCTTTTGGCAATAGCATGAGGCCGACCATCAGACATACTTGTGAGAGATGGAAATTGCGAAGATGTTTGCAGCGTTCCAAGGGGGTCACTTTCAGAAGTAAAATAAACTTGTTTTTTGAAATCCGATATGGGCACGGCTGCCTGCTGCGTAGCTGTATGTGGCATCGGTCTGCGTTGCTACTAATCAGCTTGCATTAGGAGGGAAATTCTTGGGGAATTAAAATTAATTTTCTCATTTCTCTGTGATCAGAGTGCTCTGCAAACGAAAACAAACCTTTTACATTTCCCTGTTTCATTGCGGTTCACATGATCAAGGTTCTCGAGAGCGAAAATACCCTGGTATTTTTATATTTACGTGACAGGCAGTTGTGACGTGTATGTAGGGTTTTGCCACAGTTAAGTTTTGTGTATATTAACATATACATTGTGATTGTCTAACTTGGCTAAATGGCACTTGCAGGCATTTGCTCATTGATCAACAAAATTTGGTGGACTTGAAATTTAGTCAATGTGTCTCTGACTTGGACGATGATGTTTCCTCCTGATGAAATCAAACGTGTGCTGTGCTGCCCCCCCCCCCTCCCTCCCCCTCTGCTGACCAGCCTCTTCTGGGCGGGCAGTCGCGTGGTATTCAGGGGACCTCTTTGGGGTGGATGCTTCTCGTNAACATTTGTGAGAACTGATGCAGTTTAAACACTGTCTGATGTTCAAGATTGTATTTTAAAACAATATATAAGGGGTGTGTGTGTGTGTGTGTGTGTGTGTGTGGGGAAAAAAAAAACAAAACTCTTCCCCCATC